CCCCCCGCCCCGTACCCGCGCGCACCGACCGCCGCCGACATGTGCCTTCGCAGGTACTGTCCCGTGTGTAAGAAGCACCAGCTGGCCACCAAGAAACTGGATTTGTGGTCTCTGCCGGAGGTCCTCATCATCCACCTCAAGAGGTTCTCTTACACCAAGTTCACCAGAGAGAAGCTGGACACCATTGTGGACTTTCCCCTCAGGTACGCGCGCGCGCACACATGGTCTGATGTTCGGAGCTCAATGTTTTCCTTGCGTCGGCCAATCCAAATGTCCCCCCTCCCCACCGAAAAATGTCTCCCGAATGAAGGAATAATGTCAAAGAAGGTTCCCCATAAAGAAGACGCACACCGATAGCCTTCGCGTGCTAGGAGCTAATGCTAGCATTTGTTGGTGTGGACCGGTCAAATGTCCCCGCAAGGACAAAAACCGTCATTTCATCGTGGTGGACTGTCAAGGATGGTGCCACACCAAATACGGTCCCTTCACGCTACGCCGCCGGATGCCCCGATTTGAATCCAATCTTGTTGTCTTCTCGTTCACATTACAAAAACTAACGTGACTTCTCATGTGAACGCAACGCGGCCGTGATGTCATCCGCATGCGTCTAGTGACGTACGCTACAAAAAAAAAAGTGTCGTCGTGCTTACGGAAATACATCTGCTCCCGTGTGTCACGCTCATTTTATCATCTGATACCGCCCAGAGGGCGGTCCGGCGGTCGACCGGTTAGCGCGTGGGCCTCAGGGGGCGGTGGCGCAGGGTTCGATTTCGGCTCCGGCCTTCCTGCGTGGAGTTTGCACGTTCTCCCAAATGTACTCAAACAAAATGAAAGACGAGAAGACCGGCGCGCCGTCGAACGCGGTCCACACGTCTCGCCGACCCAATGAAGAAAGGCGCCCATTTGCACGTTGCAGGGATCTGGACTTCTCGGGTTGTCTCCTGAGGAAGACGACGTCCAACGGGGAGCCTCCGAGCCGCTACGACCTCATCGCCGTGTCCAACCACTACGGGGGACTCCGCGACGGACACTGTACGACCTTGACTTTCGGCGCGCTTCAACTTTGCCGCGTCCGAGCGCGCCTCAGCTGGTTTTGTGTGTTTGTGCGCGCGCAGACACCAGCTATGCACGCAACAAGGACAACGCTCAGTGGTACTACTTTGACGACAGCAAAGTGACGTACGCCACAGAGGAGCAGATCATGGTGAGTCCTCGCCAAGATGCTGACAAGCTTGATGCGTCCCGGACAAAAGAGGCGCTCGAGATGACATTCGGAAGGGTCACCTCGTTTTCTCCCCCAGCGTCTGCGGATCAAGTGTGACAATAGTTTTGGGAGAAATATGGACGTTAGATTCAAGTCAGAGTATGACGAGATGTTGGGGAGAAAGGTCCAATATTTTCAAGGTTGAAATAGTCACATTCGGAAAATGAAGCTGTCTGCTTTTGAGGGGGAAACGTGTTGATGTCGTTTTTTTCTCTCCTTCGCTTGCTCTGGTCCATGTCGAGCGTTTCCACACCGTGTCGCCCTTCCAAGTTGGAAGACACGCGAGGCTCATGAGAGGACGCGCCTTGGCTGAAAAATGTCATGTCAAATGAGATGGGATCATTTCTAAAGGGGACTTTTGGCAAGGCCCGTTTTTTTCTTTCTTTTGAACCACAATTCAAGAGCAACGTTTGTGTTTCGCCATCATTCATATTCCAGTTTTTTTTAATTACCGGTATTTCATGAAGAGTCCCTGCGTATTTTCTGGACTCGAGTCCGAATGTTACGAGAACAGACAGAAACTCTTCGTTTTGCCGAAACCCGTTCATCCATTTTCAAGATGAGAGACGATGTCGTATGATGGGTTGGGAAAAGTACATGATGGTTTGAATCCCAAACTTGAACAAGGGCCTTTGTGTTGCATGTGGCAGACCAACGCGGCCTACGTGCTCTTCTACCATCGGCAAGACAAGATGAGGAAACCGTGCGTGGCCGCGCCCCCCGTGACGCTGCCGTGCGCCTCCGCCTTTGCCGAGCTCACCATGGAGACGGACTGAGCAAGAGACGGCTTTGGCGGCTCTACTATTCTGAGTAGTGGCCCATGTCGAGCGTTTCCACACCGTGTCGCCCTTCCAAGTTGGAAGACACGCGAGGCTCATGAGAGGACGCGCCTTGGCTGAAAAATGTCATGTCAAATGAGATGGGATCATTTCTAAAGGGGACTTTTGGCAAGGCCCGTTTTTTTCTTTCTTTTGAACCACAATTCAAGAGCAACGTTTGTGTTTCGCCATCATTCACATTCCATTTTTTTTTATTTTTTAAATTTCATGAAGAGTCCCTGCGTATTTTCTGGACTCGAGTCCGAATGTTACGAGAACAGACAGAAACTCTTCGTTTTGCCGAAACCCGTTCATCCATTTTCAAGATGAGAGACGATGTCGTATGATGGGTTGGGAAAAGTACATGATGGTTTGAATCCCAAACTTGAACAAGGGCCTTTGTGTTGCATGTGGCAGACCAACGCGGCCTACGTGCTCTTCTACCATCGGCAAGACAAGATGAGGAAACCGTGCGTGGCCGCGCCCCCGCCCAGCTCGCCCACCGGCGATTTTTTTTTTTTTTTTTTTTTTTAAACCTTGGAGTGACAACAGTTGCCCAGTTCGCAAGCTATGATTCAACACTGACTGTCATTGGCCAAAAACAACCATGATCATCGAACCACTTTGAGGGGCCAATTTGTTTGGGAGAGACGAAATCTATGAATTCACAGACACGATGGATTGGGTGAATATGATGCAACGCAGAATTCCGAGACACTGTGTACTCATTGGATGAAGAAAATGGATGAATTCGGACGCTAGCCTGACTGGACCGAGAGAAATCGACAAATTCAAAGATGGGAAATGAAGCTTCAATTTGCATCATGAACCAGTTGTTGTATTTTTGGCTCCTGTAGATGGCACTGTTGGTTGAAATAAAGAAAAAGTGAGTCTGCGTGCTTTCAGCCCAATGTTGGAACAGAGGGTGCCATCTGGAAGAGTCAAAAAAAAAATCCAACCGGTTCAGGAACCAACTTTGAAGCGTCATTTTCCCATCGCTGGATGGAAGTCTCTGAATTGAGAGAGACTCATCCGATTAGACCGTCTTGGAATTCAGAGACTAATCTGGACAGTGAAAATCTCATTCCAGTCAGACTGAGCAATGAATGATGACACTTTCTTCAGCCACTCAAGTTTCTGAATTCATCGCTTTTCTTCATCGAATTTGATTGAGCGCTGAATTCAGAGGTTTCGCTGCGCCCCGCCTTTAATCTGATTGGACAAAAACAAAGGGAAAAAAAATGACGTTGGGGACTGATTGGACTGGACGGAGGCATTGTATGAATTTTAAGCAAAATTGGAGCTCGACCGCTTTGATTTTGTCAGTCATGTTTGGGCCCTTTTCATGTTTCCATTGCCACATTCGTACATGTTGACTTGAGGCTTTTTTTTTTTTTTTAAGTTTGTATATTTTGCTTGTACTATTTATTGGGTGTCACGTGACCTGGAGAGGCCACGGAGGCGCTTCTTTACCCCCCCAAACAATGTTTTGATTGACAGCCGTGATGCTGTACAGTATTTTTCTAACAGAGCTTCTTTTTATGGAAACTGGTCAGGCTTTCTCTGGTCTTCCTGTTTTGTCAGAAATGCGAAGATTTTATAAGACTTTTGAAATAAAATGACGCCCATGTCACCACCGCCACCTTGTCTACTAGTACTTTGGACAAGCAGGGGTCTATGTGGTAAAACTCAAAACCTTTATTTATAAATTAAGGATGAACGAAAAGCAAGTTGATCTAATGGTTGACCTGTGACATCAGAGAAGTCAAAGCATCCAGAACAGGGCCGGCCGGGCAAACTTGGGGGGCTGCCATTTTAGAACATCATGGGCCAGCCCATTCCCAAATTTAACAAAGAAAAGAATAACCAATGATTGAATGAAACAAGTGATAAAAATGTAGCACTAGATGAATGTTTTAAAATGCAAATTTTGCAATGACTTTTCTTCACAATTGACGATGTAAATAAGTTTTCCAAATTTTCTGTACAATTATTTTATAAATCAAAATTTCATTTGTAGTATCATTCCAACGGAATCAAGTTCATTTCCCAAATATTTACAATGAGCAAATTTAAGAAGTACTTTTCAATTTTTGTATTTGATTTTTTTTTTTTTACGAAAATTCATCTATCGAGTAATGCAAATGATTTTGTGAAAGCAAGTTGAAGGGTCAAAGGAACAAGTGGCTGACAAAACGTCAGCGGGCCAAGTGAGCGAAGGAAGCCCCCCGGGCGACGCTTTGCTCGAGGACGGCAGACTTTTGAGGTCTTAGCTGAAGACGCCCGCCAGGTTGAGCTCTCGGGCCATCAGCTCCTCCTCCACGTTCTCCAGGGCCCACTTGTGCTCCACAATCTCCAGTGCCTCCCACTCGCTCTGCAAGCGGCACATTGACAGATGAGTCAAAGCGCCGGGAGAAGAGACCCCCCTCAAAAAAATAAACATCACCTTAAAAGCCTTGTTGGGGTCCGGGGGCATGGCCATGGCGGCGCCGGTCATCTGGTCCTGCATGACCCGCGATTGATCGGCGGCTGGCAAGGAAGGAGAAGCGCTGAAATGCGCGGGGTGTGCTTTGTTTTTTTCCTTTGTGTGTGTGTGTGTGTGTGTGTGGGGACGCTAACCGTTGTCGTGTCCCAGGATGAGGCTGTACATGCTCCTGAGGCCAAACACATTCAGGAAGTACCAGGACGCGGAGCTCACCCTGCAACGTCACGGAAAGAATCCAGATTAGACAAGTCGGCCATTTCGCTCGTTGGCAGAAGGTCAAATCAAGTTCACGTGGAGATGGTGAGTGTTCATCCCCCAAAACCTCCCCCACCCCCAAATCTCTGTAGCGCTTGTGAGGAGCGTGCGTTTGGACCGATTGCCATACGAACCAGGACGCATCCAGCGTGAGCAGGTCAATGCCGCGCTGCAACATGGGCTTGAACCGCAGCGTCAGCGGGAACGGAACCTTGGCTAGACGGAGGAAAAGGGTTGGCGCCGGGCGCGGTGTTTGACATGGCGGAAACGCACGCCGCGGCGGAGCTGACTTATGACAAATCCAGAGAAGGCCCAGTTGATCCAGCCGCCGATCATGATCATGGGCAGCACGTTGGTCAGGTTTCCTTTCATCATGTCTGTCAGCATGCTGGTATCTGCAAGGCGCATAGTACAAGGGCTGACGCGCAAACGTGAAAAGACGACAAGCGGACCGGCGGCGAGAGCCGGGCCGCACGCGGGTGTCCATTTCGGGAGCTGCTTTGCAAAAGCAATCGGTGAGGACAACACATTTTTCAACTGCTGACTTCAGTTCTCGCAGGAAAAAAAAACAACATTTTGATTCATTTGCTTTTTCTGTGAGCGGCGTTTGGTCAGTTTGGAAGGCCATTTCAGACACACCTGTGATTGGGTTTTTGGGGACCACCTTCCTCTTGACCTTCTTGAAGAATCCCGTTTCCACATTGTTGAAGTAGTGCTTCCTCATTGTGAACGACTGCACACACACACACTCGGATTCATCGGAATGGCATCCCATAAAGCCACCTGAGCGGTTATTCGCGCACTTTATTTGTAGCCAAAGTAGCACATGGACCTTGAACTAGATATCAAATCACGGCTCAAATGGCACAGTGACACTTTCATGTGACGTGACCGCCGTCGTCATCATTGTCACATATGTGCCGCACATGAGACGCAACAGGTCAGAAACGCACAAGGAAGGAACTGTGCTGCGAGATGGGCGCCCGCTCACCTGTCTGGGGATATATTTGCCGTTCTCTCGGAGGATGCGGCTGCGCAGGAGCACCTGACTGAAGGGACGCACACATCCCAAATCAGAATTTTTCCCTTGAGTAAACTAAGTTTTAAGCTTGGTCACGAAAAAAAAAAAAAAGGACAACTTCGGAGTCAAGGTCGCTTTTGTCGTGCGATGGGAATATATCATCAGGATCTCATCCGACCTGTCGGAAAGCTGCTCCAGGTCCACCTTCTTGTCGCTGTGCAGCAGCTGAGTGACATAATGGCGGATGACGCCCACCATGAAGGTGATGAAGACAATGGGCAGAACTACCCACAAACGGATACTTGAGTCCAGCAGGAGCTCCGGGCCTGCCATCGCGCGCTATACAGACTCCCGGGGACACTCTGAAACGCAAACAAACAAACAAAAAAAAAACTCAACGTCAAGTGACTGTTAACATCCTTACATACAAACTTTTGAGTCTTGGGCCGTTCTGAATCGGAACTCAACACGCCTGTTGAATACAAAATCGTGTACAGTGTTGCACTGACCGCGCACTACCCATTGTCGCATTAGCACCGCGCAATTACGAGTTTCGTCGTCCGTCCCAGCTTTTGCAAACACAGACCGACGTTTCTGAACATGCTCGTTAGCATTAGCTCGGCGAGGAAAGCAAGTTTGCTCGTGTGGAGGTCGTTTGAAGTGCCTTTCCCACAACGTTCGCTTTTACTTCGCCCGCGGTTACATTTTGGTTTGTGTGCGTCGACATAAAATGCTACAAAATATTTACTTGTCGGCTGACCGCGCACTACCCATTGTCGCATTAGCACCGCGCAATTACGAGTTTCGTCGTTCGTCCCAGCTCTTGCAAACACAGACCGACGTTTCTGAACATGCTGGTTAGCATTAGCTCGGCGAGGTAAGCAAGTTTGCTCGTGTGGAGGTCGTTTGAAGTGCCTTTCCCACAACGTTCGCTTTTATTTCGCCCGCGGTTACATTTTGGTTTGTGTGCGTCAATATAAAATGCTACAAAATATTTACTTGTCGTCCACAGCAGACCGGACTTACCACATGAATGAAGTTCAAAATGTTAACACGAAGCGAAGAAGGAGGGGGGAGTGAACGACTAAGAACTTCCGGTTCATGAGAAAACTAAAATGGAGATATACGTGATATAAATATGTAACGTACACAAAAAAAAACAACATTGACTGACGTCAGAGAACTATCGAACTCCGAAGTAGAGATTCAGAATTTTGCCTGGAAACATTACTATTTTTTTTCTACAAAACAAAATATCTTGTCCTTGTAACATATCGTTGTCGTGGCCGAGTGGTTAAGGCGATGGACTAGAAATCCATTGGGGTCTCCCCGCGCAGGTTCGAATCCTGCCGACAACGTCATCTTTTGAATAGATCTCAGGCAAATCTTTGAGAATGCTTTCAGGCAACAAAAATGTCACACTTTTGTCCACCTTAACGCAAAACAATTCACACATTTGTCTACAACCACATCAACGGTCTGCATTTTTTTTCCTGGAGTAAATCAGTCCGAAGTAGTGACGACTAAATATTGAACTTTGTACTTGGACTTCTTTTGGGGGACTTCTACATGACATGCAAAGTAGACATCTCATCTGAGGCCGATAATTATCTTGCCTGGAAATATATATATTATGCTTCAGATATTATTTAGAAAACCACCACAAATGGATTTTGAAGCATATAACAGCATATTAACTAACATATGTAGAAAAACTGCAAATTGCCTCTAACAGACATTGCGGGAATTTTTTTGTCTGCAATTTCAACAATCTATTCTCATTGATTTCTGATGTCAAAATTAGTCATCCCCTCATTCGTTCTCACGTTCAATGGGTACGAGTCGACAATGAGGGCAGCAGGTGGCGCTTTTTTTCCCATTCTCGCCCACACGCATCGCGCGGCCGAAGACACACATCCGAAAGAGGCCGAAACGTGGCGTGAAAGAAGAGCGTTTCACTGATTTGGGGATATTACTCATGCAAAAAAAAAAAAACACGTTTAATTCCAAACCTCGACACTATACAGTATGTAGGTCGTTCACAACAATTTTTTATCAACATAAAAACTTGAAATCAAGAAATGACTTGAGACCACAGACGCTCATTGAGAGGCTCCCGCCTGTCTGCGGATGCTAACTTGTCCACTCAGGCTGCGTCCAAATTCACAGGGTGCGTCCTACGAAGGACGTCATCGGGGATAGGCTTCAGCACGCCCGCGACCCTCGCGAGCATAAACACCTCAGATCATAATGGAGGGATGGATGGATGTGTGTGGCCGACGCCTGCACTCGAGGCTCCGAAGGGGTTGGGTGACATCATGCGTGCACTGCAACACACCGAAGCTAAAATCTGTCTCGACAAAAAAATAAAATAAAACAGACACACACAAACTACCAGCCAATACTACATAAGACAATACGCTGTGAAATTAAGACAAAAATGAAATGAATTACAGTCAAACTTCGGTTTTCGAACGTCTCTGTTCTCGACCAAATCGGTTTTCGACCAAAACTTGCGAGATTTTTATGCCTCGAATTACGATTTGTCTTGGGGAACATGAATGAACAACCAAGAAAAGTCATTTCTTCTCTCCACGAAAGCCATCTCATCTCACCGACGTCCATACTATGCATTCTTGGCAACAATCCACCAAATCTATCGAGTTTCATTCGATGCCGTGAGCTCACACGAAGATGCAGACGGCAATGATCGGAATGTGGAATTTGCCTCGCGCAGATTTCAACACATCGAGCCCCCCCCCCCCTAAAGCCTTGGGGCACTTGCGAAAGTATGCAATGTTTGACCTTGGATACCAAAAGCAGCAGAGGAAGAAAAATGTACCTTACGTCTGACCTCAACTTTGTTGTTGTTGTTTTTTTTTTTTTTTTTTTTTCAATCGAAGGAAGGACAAGAGCGCAGTGATGTAAAGCAGAAACCACGACGAGCCAGCAAAAGTATTAACGGCCAATAAAAAGGCACTCAAGAGCCGCATTCATCACCATTTGCTCGACTGAGGTGAGCGCGCAGGCAAAAAAAAAAAACAAAGTCCGGATGGTGGAAAGAAGACTTCGAGAGGGGACAACGCGGGAAAGGAACGTGGAGGGAAAAAAAAAAACCATCGGGACAGAAAGTAAAGATATCCTTGAAGGCGCCCGACGGCATAAAGGAAAGCCTGCAATTTCTAGAGGTGGGGGATGGCGGGGGCGGCGGAAAGGAAAAGAGAGCGTGCCGGTATCACCAGTTCTAAAACATAAATCAGCGGCTGATTTACATCAGAAGATGTAAAGAAGACAAAGAAGACCCGCCAATGCAGCCAGACCTAAAACAGTTTCCCAGGACCCTGATGGGGTCCTGAGAAGGAGCTTCAAGGCAGGCTGGTACCATATCCCCCCCTGGCTTGAATATTCTCAACAGATTTGACTCGGCGTATTGTTCCGCTTGCAGATATTTTCGCCCTCCTCATACTGTTTTTTTTTTTTTTTTTCCCTCATCACTGCCATGTTATGACGACAATGCTTTCAAAGTTTAGTGAAATAAAAAGTCAAATAAGATTTCGAATCTGTCTTTTTAACCCTGGCTTGAACGTGCCCCTCCCTCAAAACCCCGCTGGCCCCAGCCCGGCCCCCCCTCAGTGAAACTGATCTAGAACCGCCACTGAATAAGCCCACGGATATTCGGCCCGCCCACAAGCAACAAGCTTCCCACTCTCGTGTTCTTTTTCATCGACTCCACGAGAACGTCCGCCTGCAGCTCTTCGACTCTCGCGCTCACATGGGCTCCCAAACCAACGTTGGGTCACCGTCTGCATTTTTGTTCTCGGTTGAAAGGATTCGGAGCTCTCTCACTTCGCCCCCCCGCCCCGCCGATGCTTTTCTCTCCGATTTTTTTTTTTATTTTGAAGCGCTTTGCCCCGAAGGTTTGTTCGGAAAGAGGCGGATAATCTGAGAAGGAGACCGAGGGAGGGAAGAGCGCAGCTGCTGTGTGAGAAAAAAAAAAAGAGATAAGGCGGCGAGGAAGTGTGCAAGTGTGAAGGGCGACCAGGCCGGCGAGGACACACGCGCACAAAAAAACAAACAAAAAAAAAGAAGCCCGCTTCTCTTCATCGTCCGTCCACCTGAAGGTGAAGAGCGGGAATGCGGCGCGACGAGACGAGACGTCACGCGGCCGCCGAATGAGCCCCGCTCCGACTTTGCGCTCATCATGCTGGCTTGGGCTCTCTTCCCACATTCGAACAACCTGCGCCGGAAGAGCAACTTCGTCCCCGGGTAGAATGACGAGAGGACACTTGTGACCTTGGGACCTCCGTGACAACCCTCCTCCTCCTCCTCCTCCTCTTTTTCGTTTTTTTTCCTTCCTCGCCCCCCCCCCCCCCCCCACCCATCCTCTGTGCGTGCCTTCGCTTCAGCTCGACTCTTTCCTCCTCACTATGTTGATACCAGCTGTCTTGCTATGGATTCTTAATGTCAGCAAACTGTGCTCGGGCCAAGACTACATGGACTACTACGCAGCTGGAGACGCGGGGACGCAGGTGAGCGCTACAAACCTTTTTCTTTTGAGGGCTGACGAGGATTGAATGACATGCAACCAGAACATGGAATCTCATGACCACGTGACGATTTCAGCGTTACAAGAAGGAAAGCTGTTCGGCGGTCCGGTGGTTAGCGCGTTGACCTCACAGTGCAGAGGTCGCGGGTTCAATTATTACAATAACAAAAAACACAGAACAATGCGGGTTGAGCAGCGGCAGCCAAAACGCGCCAGCGTTCACTCAAAATGTTTATAATGATTTTCAGTCGATTTTGAAGATCAGTTTTGTTGTCCATTATAGCTATAAGATAATGGAGAGCATTCCTGGCCACATTGTCAACACTGGTGTCCCTCAAGGCTCAATCCTAGGGACCCGATTTAAACACTGACACTGAAGTTGTCACTCATCAATCTAATCTTGGTGTCATTTTAGAGGAACATTGTGATGCCGAACCAATACTGGCATCACATCTTATACACCTTTAAGAAGAAAAGCTGGTCGGCGGTCCGGCGGTTAGCGCGTTGACCTCACAGTGCAGAGGTCACGGGTTCAATCCCGGCTCCGGGCTTCCAGCGTGGAGTTTGCGTGTTTCCCCCTGGGTCCGCGTGGCTTTTCTCCGGGTACTCCGCTCTCATCCCACATTCCCAAAAACATGCACGGCAGATGATTGGCTCACTTGAAATCGTCCCTCGGTGCGAGTGTGAGCGTGGATGCTTGTTCGTCTGTGTGTGCCCTGCGATGGGCGGGCAACCGGCTCAGGGTGTCCTCCGAAGGCGGCTGGGATAGGCTGCAGCACCCCCCCCCCCCCCCCGATTCATCACCACACCAGCATCGTGGAAGATTATCTGATGTCAACATTGAAAACCACCAAAACCAATCCAAGCGTCGTGTCTGAGAGAAGAAATCTTTCTTTCTTTCTTTCTTCACCAAAATGGCCGAATGAAGAAGCTCGGTGGTGACCAAGGTAATTGACAAAGTACAAGCTTTTCATCACATCCCGTCTGGATGACCGTCATGCATTTGACTTTGGAGTCAGCCATTCCTCCATTCCAGTTGGTCCACAATGCCGCCGCTCGCCTCTTGACCGGTACTCGTCGGAGGCAGCACATCCCTCCTCCTCTGGCAGCCCTTCAATGGCTCCCAACAGACTTCTTTTGAAGATCCCGTTCTTTGTTTTCCAATTTTGAAATGACCCGGTGCCCTCCGCACTTGCCCGCTGCCTCAGGTCTGCAGACACTATGAGAAGGACCGAGAAGTAAGCGGAGGCTCCGAGGGGATGCTAAGCCTTTTCCCTTGCCGCTCCGCTCCCTCTCTTTGGGATGAACGTTCGGCAAGCCCCGCCCCCCCTCGCTGCCCATCCTTCAAACTCGTCGTTTTTCGTCTTTGCCTTCTGACTTCGCCTGAGACTTGACTTTTAGTGGGACCGCCTTTGTGCTTCCCCGTGTCTTTGTTATTCATTGTTTGTTGCTGTCTGAATGATTTTTGCTCCACGTACGGCATTTTGCACACAAGGGAGGGTTGGATTTAAATATGCTCTCGAAATCCACTTGGGTCGAGTTGAGTGTGTATCCGGCCGGTTCTGTGCGGGAGAGAGTCCTCTCAAATATGCACATTTGACAGCTTGCCGGTGTCTGACCATCAAAGTGTTGGCAAATGCGCAGCCAAAGCAAGTAAACACCGCAAGAGAAGTTGACCCAACGTGCTTTCTCAAGTTCAACATTTCACTTTGCTGGGCTCGAATTTCCGCGCTTGGGCGGACGTAGACGGCAGCTCTCGATGAAGCGCTTCGTTTTCATCCATTTCTGTATTGACTTAAGCCGGTGCTTCTCAATTATTTTATGTTACCCCCCCCCCACTTAACAAGAAGAATACAATTTGCACCCGCCCCCCACTCTCTGCTGCCACTATAAATGTCATTTGTCTCTAAAATTGTGGTGTCTCTGCATTACGTTGTATCCTTATGAACATTGAAGAAAAAAAAGAAAGAAATATCGTTCAATTTACAGCAAGGAATGACTTGATAACAGGTGTCAAACTCATTTTTGTCGCGGGCCACGTTGTCGTTACGGTTTGCCCTGGAGGGCCGTTATGAATTTTGGGAAACCATATAAATGTTTAATCACCTCCACATATTACAAACACAGCGCACAACAAATGGATGAATAACTAACTAGTTTTAAAATCAGAAATCAAGAAAAATGACTGTCATTGTGGATTACGTATGACAATTTTGAAATTTTGGTTCTGACTTGAGCAAGCATCATGGAAGTTGACATGCTTAATTTGCTTTCATGGGACTGTCTGCTGCCATTATAATTATCATTTGTCTCTAAAATTGTGGTGTCTCCGCATTACATTGTATCCTTATGAACATTGAAGAAAAAAAGAAAGAAAGATCGTTCAATTTACAGCAAGGAATGACTTGATAACAGGGGTGTCAAACTCATTTTTGTCGCGGGCCACGTTGTCGTTACGGTTTGCCCTGGAGGGCCGTTATGAATTTTGGGAAACCATATAAATGTTTAATCACCTCCACATATTACAAACACAGCGCACAACAAATGGATGAATAACTAGTTTGAAAATCAGACGTCAAGAATAATGACTGTTATTGTGGATTACAAAAGACGATTTGAAATGTTGGTTCAGACTTTCGCGAGCATTATGGAACTTGACATGCTTGATTTGCTTTCGCGGGCCACATAAAATGCATTATGTGGCGGGCCAGATCTGGCCCCCGGGCCTTGACTTTGACACCTGTGCTTTGTAACATTGTTTTTTTTTAGTCTGCAACAGAAAAGATTCTCAGGGCATCAATTTGCCTGAAATAATGTCACTTTGATGGATTTGTCTTTGCGCTGTCCGCAGCCTGGTCTCATTATTTTCGGCTCTCTTTTTATCCCTGTTAAAAAAAGTCTCCTGAGGCTTTGTTTACTGCACTTCATGTCGGCTGTTCGGTGCAAAAAAAAAAAAAAAAAAGTTTTGTGACTAGCACAAAACAAACCACACAAAGAAACGACGGCTCATCTTATCATTTCATATCAACAGAGGTGGGAGGAGGTAGAAATATTTTGGGGATGGACGGCGACTTCACTCGGGAGAGCCAATTCACGGCCGGAAGCCTTTTTTTTTAAATCAAGAAGCGCTCACGATCTGGCACAGTGATGCTTCTGGTGAAATGAGTTGCACCGAGGGCACTGCCGCAACGCAACGCTCGCATCTGGAATATTTGCTCTCCAGTCAAAACACCAAAATTGCCTCAACCGCGGCTGGAAAAACGCGGAGCTCGGCCACCTCTGTCTCTGTGAAGCACCGGCGCGTCGCAACCGACTGCAGTTATCAAGTGCAGGAGGACATCTTTGTCCTGAGAGACAACGCATCTGCAAAGAGCCATCGCGACTCAACAATTTGCTGCTTCGAGATACCGCCGAGACAACACGTTTCTCCCCATCGGAGTTCGATTCCGACGAATGCTTTGCTCTGACTCGCAAGCAAACATCCGACATACGAGCGCCACAAAAGAGGCTTCCAGCCGTTTCGTGCCACTCGCCCGTCGAGAAGTTTCGCCTCAAACCAAACATCAAACAATCTCGTCTCGCCGGACCGCGTTTGAAGCGTTTGCCGCCTCGACAAACGGCCCGTGACTCAAGTCAGAAAGGCGAGGGCGTCCTGAATTAATGCTCGATGGCCAGTCGCCAGAGTGGAGCGCCGGCCGCCGCGCTGGCGGCGCTCAACTTAATCATAATAATCATAATAATACATTTCATTTATAAGCGCCTTTCAAGACACTCAAGGACACTTTACAACCAAAACAAGAATAATAAAACCACAGATGAAATTATAAATAATAAAAGGAGAGATGAATTTAAGCTGAATATGCGATTTTAAATAAGAGACGTCCATGACGCTACACACTTTGACGTCGATCGCATGATTTTAATAAAAGAAAGCTTCACCAAGTTTTGGCTTTTGGCCGACAAAAACTGCCGTTCTGACGTCACTTGGCCTTCACGGGTTGATCTAAATTCTCAGGAATGTTTCCACAGAGGTCAATCGTGTGCCGCGACCCGCAGTTCAAATGTAAGTAGAACATGCGGCGCTGCGTACAACCGACGAGTTCTGGACAAAAGTTTAACGCTGCGATCGGCGTGGGTGCGTTTGGTGCCATGTTGACTCTCCAAACAATGAAGTGGCACGGCCACACGTCTCATCTCGGTTTCAGATTTGGGTTTTGGCACGCCAAGCAACATAAAAACCCAAATCTTGTGAAGTGGAAAGAAAACGGGGGTGGGGGGAGAAATTGATCCAAGTCACGATATCCCAAAACAAAAGAGCTTCATTGTGGGAAAGAATTGAAACCTCCAGAATTGAAACCCCATAGGACGTGAATTTTAGAAGAAGGGACCGAAGAGAGTAAACACACACACACACACACACACACACACACACACACACACACACACACACACACACACACACACACACAGACTAAAAAAGAAAAAAAAATAGAGTGAAAGAGGCTGCGGTGAAAGCCTGGAGCTGCATCGCAAAATAAAAATGCCGAAGTTTGGTGATGCGACGTCATCGGGTCACAGCTTGACGCAGCTCACGTCGGCTCAGGCTGTGCAACCCAACACAGAAGGAGACTTGAGTGAAAAAGACTCTCATGCGTTCGGCCTCCCGCAAACGGAGTGGCGCCTCGAGATACGAGTGACCGTGGTTGAAACTTAGAAGACTCATCTCAAATCATGCTTCATGATTCAAATGCCATCCATCTGCTCCAGCCTCCCCACAAAAACAACAAAAATGTACATTACAATCATTTTTATTGTTTCCTGATAGGAAAAAAAAATCGCACTGTACAGCACTGTCCTTTATTTAAAAAAAAAAACAAAAACACAGTCATCACGGCGCTGTTTTTGCTTAAATTCAATGGACATTGTGCCGCTCCTTCTGGTATAAATCTGCGTCTCGGCCACCCAGGAGCAAAATAATCCAGACATAGCGGACATTTGAAGCTGCCCTCAGCTCCTCAGTAAGCAGCGATAATTGTCATCGTTCTTGAAAGAAGATAAAGAATATATGCCAGTGAGTATTTTGGCGTCGGAACATCCATTGCTTCAAAGGTGATCACACTGTGACGCTGATGCTATTTGTTCGCATGTCTACGGGGTTTTCATGTGTTAGCATTAGCCTAGCGGTATTGTTCCTTTTCCAAACGCAACATGCGATCGCTGTTTTTGGTTTAGTTTGACAGTAAACTTCAACTGGCAGTGGTAACGAACAGCTTGAAGAATTGTTTGCTCCCTGCCAAATCTTCCCTGGACACTGAAGAGATGGCGGCCGGACCGTTCTGGTTGTTGATCTGCCAATCCGCTGCTTGTTGGGAAGTGAGTTGAGTTCCCTGCTAGCGTGCAGCTCTCATGTCTCATATTTATGCTCAGAAGCAAAAGAACAACAACAACAACGGCAAAAAAATGGTCATTTCGGAACTGGCAAAGCCGTTGCTGCTAAAGTACACAATGGGCAGCGTAGGATGTCGCCGAACAACAAAAACGTGGCTCTTCATGAGGAAATGCAGTGAGAGCAGATCCGAGTGTCAACTTGTCGGCCCTTCCGACTGACTGATGGCGCAAGAGTTGGCGTCAATTTGCCGCCGGCTTCGTGTTTTCCGATGCCAAAAAAAGAGGGACACGCCCCAGAGCGGTGGACTGCTCATTGCTCCGTCATGACCTCAGCGTCCCACAGCAATGACCTCATGTCCCAATCACAACGAAATGGGGGAAGAAAAAAAGATAAACGCTTATGGGTTTTTTTTTTTGGGGTTTTTTTTGTGGGGTGAGGCGGGAAAAAAAAAGAAAAAGAAGAATTTTGGACGCATGGGAGTCAACACCACGTGCAGGCTGTGCAAACAACAGGGGCTATTATTTGTATGCGGTTATCATATCTTATGGACGGACAGCTTCGAGCAAGAATGAGCGGTCGCCGCGATGGAAGGCCACGCTCAGAATTTGTCTTCCTCGCAGGCTCCGGTGTCGTCAGATCAGCAGGTCAGCTTGCAGAGCGTGGCCAGCGTGGATCAGCTGCTGCAGCTTCTCTATCCCGAATACGATCTGCTTCAGCAGTGCCTGAGGAAGAAGGCGTGGCACGCCTCCTCGGCCAGCCCGCCGCTCCAATCCGACTGGGCGCAGCTGAGGGAGGAGGCGCTTTACAAAGTGGACAGCACGCTCGGAGGTAAACCGCCGCCGCCGCCGCTCGACGCGCTCTGCGGTCCCTTGACCCGAATGGGCGGCTCACGCGATCCGAACTCCGTCAGTCATCCTGGAGGAGATCCAGCGCACCTCGTGCCAGCCCCGGGAGGTGTGCGTGGAGGTGACCAAAGAGTACCCGGAATCCACCAGTCAGTTCTACCTCCCCCGCTGCGTGGCGCTGCATCGCTGCGGCGGATGCTGCACCAACGAAGCCTTTTACTGCGCCAACACCAGTCACGTGCTCGTCAACAAGACGGTGAGTGTTTGCGCATCCGCGGCGAGCGCCGTTTCCCAACCGCGAGGAATGTCCGAAAAGTTCCAGGACCGCTTATACAAACAACACAGAGTGACTCAGTGATAATTTTACAATTTAACCCCAGCGAGTCCTGCGGGACTCGCTGATCAGAAAAGCCCCATGATGCATTTAGAGAGTCCCAAATTTCTGAAATGGTCTACTTATTCAATTGCATATGATAATAACATAAACTACAACAATATACATTGATAAGAGGGTTTTTCTTATCAAACAAATGCTGCAAAAATGTAAATAATTCAGGCTTACAAGATTTGCTGCGAAATAGCTTCTTATTTCATCCCGTGGTTCAATCTTTGAGTTCATATTTCCGCAATAAACTTTCGCAACACTTGTTCGCAACACTTGTTTTAACGTTACACGACTTTACAATCGTCTGCTTTCCACGAGGTGAAGGACGATTTTCGTCAATCTCGTCTCGCGAGAACGGAAATCTCGTCACGCGAGATTACTTACCGCGAGATCAAAACAACAATGGCGGCCATTCAAACTGCGTTCGTTGCTAGAAAAAAAACGATTTACCGTAGGTTTTTTTTTTTTGCTTTGACTGAAACATTTCCTTGCGTCCCAAAAACGCATATTATTTGGAACTGTGATATGAAGAGATCGATGCGACGTGCTCCTTTGAACTCCGGCGGAAGCTAAGCTAACGTCTGTGCTCCTTTACGTTGGCAGGAACCCCCCCGCCCCCACCCCCCCGCTCGCGTGGCCGCCACCAGTCAGAAACATGTGATGGGTTTCTATCTTGTTCACGGTACCTCGGGCCATGTGGCAAATTGCGGCAAATGTTTGGAACTAACAGACCTTGAAAGCTACTGCACAAAAGGAAATGATGAAAAGAAGGAGACAATTTCTCTCCAAAACGCTGCAGGGAATGAAGACGATTCCATTTCAGAGGCACTTTGTGCTTTCTGGCTGGTTGATGAAGACATCACGTGGATGATCCTCAAGTAACTGTTGGAAAAATGGTCACCTGACGACAGATTTTAATTTTTTTGGGTCTGAAGGTGAAGATTTGGTCGCTGTCAAGCGCAGAGGCGGAATCTGTTCTGTGAGGTCGAGGGGCGTCGGCTTTCACTCAATCACTGACTCACAGCACGCCTCTGTCCTCGCAGCTGATGGAGCTGTCGCCGCCCAGGATGGAGCGCTCCGTTGTCATGGTGACCTTTGTCAATCACACGGGGTGCGAGTGCCTCCCCAAGCGGCCGCTTCACTCCATCATCAGACGAGCCGCGACGGATCACCTGTGAGTGACATTCAAGCGGGCGTGTGCCATCCGTCTCATTCATTTAAAAAAAAAAAAAGCACTTTGCTTTGATTTATCTTTTTTTTTTGTTTTCTTTAAGGCGTCACAGTCACAATTCCACCAAACTGTTGTGAAATCCACTCCCAAATCAGGATTTGGCTTGTGCGCGTTCGCGGCCTCACACACGATCAGAGGCGATTCCAGCCTTAAGGCGACACATAAGTGCACGCTGTGGCCTAGCTGCCGTTTTTGAACAGGCGGCGGCGGGGTGAAAATAGCATTTGACATGGGACGCCATGCTATGATTCTATTTGAAAAAAGCTCTGGGCAATATTCAAAGTGTAGCTGTCCCAAAAGTGGACGTACGTGAGTGATGGGGAGCGCTGCTCCGGCTCTTCATCAAGCTTCTCGAGAAATGCAAACAAATTGACGGAGGTGCGGCTCGACTCGGGTGGGCGGCGCGGCCGCGGTCGTGTTGTCGTATTTCAAAAAAAACAACGTGAGATAAACAATGTGGAATTGCTTGATGGATTGGTTTTTGGGTGTCTTCAAAAAAAAAAAAAAAAGGCCTTTCCTTCCTTCTATTTTTGGACTATGCCACCCTCAGAAGTACATTTGGGACATGGGAATACTTTTGTCAAGTTTGACATTGCTGGTCTGTGCCCTCATTCTGTGTGTGTGCGCGTGCAGGTGTTCTCCTCCCACGGTGCCGTGCGCTTCGGCGTTCTTGTGGGATCCCGTCAACTGCATGTGTGTGCCAATAGATGCCATGAACTACTCGGAGAAAGAGACAGGTGAGACCCGCTTTGCTCGTCGCCTCTTCATTTTCGGGCGGCCGTGAGAATTCCGGACGCTTCGCTCTTCCCGTGAGGCAAACGAAATTGTCGCGGGAGCAAAATCAGACACAGCTGTGCACTTTCAATCTGAGCCCATTCAAAAAAAAAAAAACAAACAAATATAGAGAGCAGCATTGAGGAGGAATCGGACCTTGAAAAGTCATTGAACCGAGACTGGCGAGACCGTGACAATGTTGCCTGCAGCAAAGTGGAAAGTCCGAAATGAAGTCTTAATTCCGCAAAAGTGATATCTGTCCGAGAAATGCAAAGCGGCAAGTACCAGCTGATTGAAACGGACCCGCTGTATATGCGCCGCATTCGTCAAGTACGTTTCGCCAACGGGCAGCCGCGGAAGAGAGTCCCGTCCGGCTTTGTCTTTGAAATTCACGTTCGCAAAGCCACCGGCGTGACGAACGCATCCTTCGACATGGTGAAGAAGATAAGCAGCGGAGGCGTAATATCGGCTCGTCACGTCGCCTTCGACATGGGCGTCTCTTCGGATCGGTGAAGAAGATAAGCAGCGGAGGCGTCATCTCGGCTCGTCACGTCGACGACGATGAGGGAGAGAAAAGCCAGAACGTTGGAATCGGACAAGTTTGGACACCTCCGGCTCAAACGGCGTGCGTACGCGTGGTCGAAACGGAATGCGTCTCATGATTGTCAGAAAAGCGGAGACGGATCGTGGAGTCAATAATGAAGGCCATGTGTTCAAAAAAACAAAAAAAAGCCACCGGTGTTGAGCCATGCCGGAAGGTCATTGTTGAAGAGCTGTCAATGAATTCTTCCAACATCAAAAGGCCTTCCTCAATCTCGTTGTGGTGCTCCATAGCTTCCTACGAAAGAATGTCAAATGCTCGGAAAACCTTTTTTTTTTTGGTGGGGCGGGGTTGAAAGAAGAAGTCTACTTTGGGTAAGTTTGGTGCTTGTATTGTCGCAGGTCCCAATATTCAAGAGGGTTGTAAAAATCAGGCTGGAAAACGGATGGCAGTGAATGCGCTCACAGCCAATCGAAGGCACATTTCCTCATTTTGAAGCAGATGCATCAAGTTGAGCTCCACGAGCTGCCTTGGTGTAGAAAGCTGTCGCATCCGGTGGCATGAGAAAGAGGATCCATCCTTCGCAGGAAGCGGTGGTCCCTCACGCTTGTGAAAAGAAATGAAAGCGCGGGCCTACTGCGTGCGGCTCAGGGCCGGATTTTGCGCCGGCGCTTTTCCAACCTCTTCTTGTCTTTCTCTTCTCTGCGGCTTCCAGAGGCTTTGGACTCGGGGCTGCTGGCTCTCTGCGGCCCCAACAGAGTTCTGAAGGAGCCCAGCTGCGAATGCGTCTGTCGAAACGGGCTCACCGAGGCCAGCTGCGGTCCGGGCTGGAAACTGGACCACAACACATGTAAGGGGGGGGCGCGGGGGGGCTTTTCGAGAGATCTTGAGAGACACAATGACACTCAGAGAGACAAAAATGGGGACCGAGCCCTGCCGCCAACAGTTCAAGAAAAAAAAAAAAAAAAAGAAAAAGAAAACCCGACGGGGAAAATCGAGCCGCCCCCTAAAAATGTTTAAAATTGCATCTGGCAGTCATTCTCTTTTCCACAAAGTAGCACACAAAAAAAACGTTGCTCTTCAAGTGCCGCCATTCTGACCAACATTATGACGTCAATCATACAGTAGTTACGTCGACCTAAAGGTTCATCAAAAACAGGAGCAATTTTATTCCAGAAAAGTATATTTAACATGACGGGAACCTATTACAACCTTGGGGCTTCAAAATATGAGGACGGGGGTTGGGGGGGGGGGTGCAAAAAACGTACATTGCACACAAAAGTTAAATAAAAAAACGTAAACGGTTCTTCATGGTCAAATGGCAATGATGAACTGAGAAGTGAATTTCAACTTTCCCGAAGAAGTGCGGATTTTGCGTATGAGAGGTAGCCGAGTACTACTACAGGTAACATGTATGTATGCATATTGGGGGGGGGGAAAAATAAAAAATGAAGCCGGAACACTTCGAACTCATCTTACATCATCATTCAACATCGATGGCTGACAGACGATTTGGAAACAAACCCCCAAAAAATTTGCAAAATTTCTCCCAAACATCCAACTACGATGCTCTCTCCTTGACACGCATCTCTTGGACGCACTTTCCTCGACAACGATGATTAGTTTCCGATTAGCCGGAGTTTTGTGTCCACAAAAAGCCCCAACAGGTGAAGCGTTAAGTGCAAATGCTCTCGGAGCATCTGCGAAATGTGGACAGTGTCGTACACGGGGAGCTGAGCGGCGCCTTTCCCGTAGGTGAATGTCAGTGCCAAGGTCAAGGCGAGGGCAAGTGGTGCCCCATCGGCCAGCGCTGGGACGACGAGCTGTGCGGCTGCGTGTGCGCCGCGCGCTGTCCTGGGAATCAGCCCCTCAACCCCGACACCTGCTTGTGTCAGTGCCGAGAAAGTCCGCAGTCGTGTCTACGGCAAGGCAAGAGGTTCAACCCCAACACCTGCAGGTGAGCACATTCAAAAAAAACCCCCAAAAAAAGTCAATGCAGCTCGTTTCCTATTCAGCTGTATTTTTTTTTTTTTTTGCCTGCTGGTTTCGTTGGAGCCGCGCTTGTCGTTCTAATTTCAAGTCAGGTCAAGTCAACGCTCCCAAAAAATAAATTGAGAGAAATGTGAACCAGGTAGCACAAAATTGGCGTATTGAAGAGAGTTTGATTTTGTCGGCCGCAAGAGCGCTCCGAGGCTAACGCGTCTCTTGTGCTCGCTCGCTCCGTCTTTTCAAAATTCTCAGTCGAAGATGAAAACGTATATCGTGGACATTTTGTCAGTTGTTATCTTTAGCCTATGCGGCATTGTTTTTATGACTCGCTTCACATTAGCAAAGCGATGGGAACGTGTTTTGATAGCATAGCAAGTCCAGCCAACATGACATGTCAACCCCCCCCCCCCCTTAGTACAAGGACTATGCGAGCCAATAAGGGAGGGAAACTATTTTCAGAAGTCATTTTTTTGGGGGGGGTGCCAAGATGTCAAAATCTTATCAAAGAGTAAAAAGTCATTTAGGATTTTGTACATTTCAGTGTACTTACTGTCTTCGTTTTGAGGAATCATGACTTGGACCGTTTTTTTTTTTTTTCTTTTGTTCTGCACTTGTATGCCTTGGTCACCTTGGTCACGAATCGACCCCACACTCGACCCCCGACTCTTTTCTGCTACAATGAGTCAAATGCACAGTCAAGTCATCTTAACATCGGGCCCTAAAAGTGGCTTGGAACTGCGCAATTCAGTCACCCTCCCCGTTGAAGTTTCCCGTCAAATGAAACATACAAGAAAGTGGAAAGCCCTCATCTTTTGCTCTGCGGCAATCTCATTTCTTCCTCATTAAATCGGAAAGGAAGAGGCTCTCAGAGAAGCAAACGCCAAATTGGCGTCAAACATCGCTGACTCCAGACCTTCTCCGCGGACTTTTCTTCCGCCGTTTCCTTTTATGGACGCGAGACGTCCCGAGCGCCGCGTTCTTCGCCGCGAGCGTGCGGTGCGGTTCCCACAGCTCGCACGCGAGAGGCCTCTGACCCGAGCGAGCTGACAGTGAGCAGAGCACAGCAGCCATCGGGCCGCCGCCGAGATGGATGGAGTGACGGCAGCCAAAGAAAAACATACAAGGCGATGGGAGCCGAGCCGGGAGGGGAAAGTTCAGATGTGCCAGTGATTTGTCTCGCTGGACGTTCTCAGGCGTTTTTTTTTTTTTTTGTGAGGCTAGGCTGGAAAAAGACCACAAAAAAGATGGATTTGTGACCAAAGACGGCCATGGGAAATGTCGCTCAATTATCTTTCTGAATGTCTTTTATTTCACCTATGATGGAGGAGAATCTTGCTCCCTAATCCACCCCATTTGGGGTGGGGGGGGGCATGATCAGTGGCAGAGCTCGACCTTTATCCTCGGGTGGCCCACGGGGTGGCCAAGGCTATCTTTGGGAGGCCGCAAAACAAAAACTGTCTCAACAATCAACATCATTCGATATTTCGACACAAACATCCACTGATGCACACGCGCACTTCAATCCGGTTAGCGAGATACAGACAAAACATTTTGCAATCGCTACAATGTCAATAAAAGGACATGAAACTGTCATTTTTGGTGTTTTTCCTTAAAAAGTACTCATATCTTGCCCCCCCCACCCCAATCTTTTCATTTTCAACATATCCTCTGAAAAAGAATACGACTGTAGCCTCTGCTTAAGTGTAGGCTGGCATCACTCCCAGACACACGCTGTAAAAACAAAATCTCCACTTTCAGCCTAAAAAAAAATGTCAGGGAAAATTGACTCATGTCGACCGGTGGATTTCGGATTGAACCTTTTCAGCGGGCGGACGTATATCGACCGCAGTTAGGCGACTGGTGGCACTTTTTAAACAAAGCCTGAAATTCAGAAAATGCCACTAAACTTGGGACGTTTCCTACAGGGGAATGAAGGCAAATTTGGGGATCCCCCCCCCCCCCCTCCAAAAAGCCTGGCTGCAAGCATATTTCAGGGAAGGCCAGGCATCGTTTGTGCTTCTTTTCATTTCCACCACTGTAACTGCGCTTCGTGTAGCAGGCTGGCAGCATGACCGCCACATTGGTATTTGTCATGCATTTGCTAATTCCGTGCACTCCCGGGACTTCCTCCATCAAACATGACCAAAAAAGAAAAAAAAAAAGTTGCCCAGACAAGTTTCGACACCTCTTGTACGCTTGAGTGTTCCAAAGGGCAAATGGCATTCCTTTTTGGATTTCTGCAGGAATATATCCAGCAACACCAGTCTATGAGCATCCCCTTAACTCATTCACTCCCAAAGACGTTTTTAAACGTCTCTTCAGACTTGGTCCAGTATTGGCTGGTACTGAATGAGTGAATCGCCTCGTAAGCTTTCCCATTTGTGAAATTTCACTTGTTTTCGCCCGCTTTTCGGCAACGTTCCACCCCAAGTTGGGAGTGACTAATCAAATGTTTTCTTTCACTTTTCCCCAGTTGCTACCGGTTACCATGCAGGACCCCCAAACGCGCTTGCCTCACTGGCTTTTACTACAGCCACCAGGTCTGCCAGTGCATCCCCAACTATATGAAGCCCGCGTGGAATTAGCCGGTCGCAGACGAGCGGATCGATACCAGCCGAGGATGACGGTCAAACTCTGGGAAACTTGCGGCCTGACGCCGCAAAAGCCACCGGGAGGTGGAGCAGAACAACAAATGAACAGCTATTGGATTACCACAGACCTCATCGTAAATCCGGGCGCTCCCCCCCCCCCCCCCCCCAGAAAAAAAAAATCCTTTGTCCCACGGGTGGATGTAATGTCAGGAGAGGAAATGTGACTCCCAAGCGTTGCGTGCGCGGGCTCTTGCCCAATCGCACACGGCAACAAGGTCAGGAGGCCAGATGGGAGCCGTCGGCTTCCGGGCCGCCTTCGCTTACCTGCCGCGACACGCTGGAGCAAACGCGCCGACGCTTTCTTTGAATTGGAAAGTGGAAGAAGAGAATGACGCAGCAGACTCAAGGCGAAAGAAGCTCAAGGCGATTTGGCGTCGGGCCGCGAGGTGGAAGCGTTCGGCCTTGCAGAGACGTCGCAGCCGCACCAACATGACGCCGACATTCAATCTTTTCCAACTCAACGTTTGCATTCCTACCGGAGGGCACAGACGCTCCGCCTTGTAATTCCCGAACGCCCGCTTTGTCTCCCCTTTTTTTTTTTTTCTTTTTTGTTGGAAGTCTTTCACTTCAAAAAGGCGACACGGTGCCTGCTGTCGGGCTGATCGACAGCTTTTACTCTTAATTTAAATGACCCGAGGGCAATATTAAAATGTACATATTTAATTTCTTTATATTTAAAATCTTGTCTTCTCGAGTTGTGTGAAAGAATGTATGGAAGGCAAATCGTTCCCCCAAAGTCAACGTTTTGATCGGTCGTGCTGCCGACGGCGCTAAAAGAACAAATCCCATTTTAGCCAACAAATCCAACTCGAGACAACAGAGCGTTCAAAAACAAAAACAAAAACAGTGAGTCTCACGTGTTTCATGTTACTTTCTCAAGTTCGCTCCCCCCAATTAAGCGATCCACTGAAAAACGTATGGGCATTGTTCTCATCATCAAAACAAGAAAATCTTGCCATGTGAAAATTGCACAACACACATCGACCTGCAGGGACCTGCAGATGGAGCCGGCTTCGGGCTCCACCTGGCGGTGCCGACTCATTCCGACCTTTCACTGCTCTTGAAGAGAACAATTGAAAAAAAAAACAAAGAAAAAGCCACAAGCAACTCGCTGAAAACGTCCTGAGTGTGCAGTTAAGTGAAACAGAATCAATAACATGAAATAAGTTTTAATTTCTCCCCAAAAACAAACAAAATAGAAACTGCGCTCCAGCAAACCCTGACATTAGCAATCGAAACGCGAATATTTACAAGATTAAAAACAATTTCAATAAATAGAACCTGTCGCAGCTTCCTGCAAAGAGTTAAAAGGCCGCTTTCGAGCTCCCTTCAGCCGACGCGACATCGTCGGTCTCGTCGGTTGAAGGCAGCTCGAAAGACAACCGGGGCCGATTTCCAAAAGAAGCCGCACAGGGAAGCAAACAAGAATTGAACCGGTGGAAGCGAGGGTAAGAAAGACGGTCGCGACTTGAGAAATTTGAGTGTGTGCTGACCCCCCTACGGGCGGCAGCAAAACCACCCCGCCGACAAGCGTCACATCGTCCCAACGTGAAGAGCCAAGAACTGACCTCGTCCGGCACGGTGACAAGGCTGCAAAATGCTAACAAAGCATCTTTTGTTTTCGTTTATGGCTTCCCGACGGTGACGGCGTTTCCTTGTGTCCGGACTCTGGTCAAACAGCAGGCACTTGAGTACAAACTCTTGGCCAAAATCTGCCGGGGGGGGGGCAGGACTTTCACTCCCGGGCCAGTTCTGGAGCCGTCTTCACAAACAACGGCCATCGCCGTGCTTTTGCTCTGGGCACCCAATGTCAAGACTTAAGATGAGGTCCTGAAGCGCTCCGGTGGACCTCGATCCGCCCCGGCCGCAGTCCCGTACGGGTCCCACAGGCAAGTCCGTTCCGAATCGGCGAGGTCCGCTCACTCGGGTTCAAGTGGGGTCCTTCAACTATTCACTGCAACACAAAGGGAGAAAAGCCACTCTGGTTTAGTTTCGCCGCATTTGCGGAGAGACGAGTCCTACGTGGTCGCGGGCGGTCAAAGCCGACGGAACCGAGAGTAAAACTCGTCCGTGTCGTTTGAACAAAGGCGGAGTGATTGAGAAAAGAGGAGGAGTGACGCGAGCGATGACTTGAGCCGCCTTCTCTTCCGTCCGAGTTGACGAGTCGGTCCAAAGCAAGCGAGCCGTTTCTGCGCCGGACTCTCTATCCGGTTCCAATTGTGCTAATTGGACGAGGCCACTTTGACTGATCAATCACATCCGTGGCATATGTTGGGGTGTTTTTTTTTCCAGTCATGAACTTCCTGTGTGTGCCTCCAACCACAAGATATCGCACTCGCTCTCCCCGTCGTGCTCCGCTGCAGAGGCCCCACGCGAGACTCGTTCCATCCAATCGCATTCAAGATACCTTCATGGCCTTGCCAATTGTCGGAACCAGAACGCAAACGCTACTGACTAGAGTGTCGAACAATGCTAAGGAAGCATCGATTTGCTAATCCCTCAACCGATGCCAGGGCACACACCCAAAGACAAACAACCATTGACGCTCACAATCGCACGGGGGGATAATTTCGAGTGTTCAATGGGCCTGCCACGCATGTTTTGGGGAATGTGGGAGGAAAGCCCGGAGGTCAACCCACGACCTCCGCACGGCGAGGCGCACGTTAGCGCTAACCAGTCGGTCGCTCAAATCGTATCACATTTTTCAACAAAAGAGGACGGCGGAATCTATTTCGGAAAACCCGCACTTGTGTTCCACGGATTGTTGCGAGAGTTTCGTAAGATCCGACTTGTCAGCGAGACCCTTGAGGCGTCCGCCTGTGATTTGTGACTGGATGAGTTCGTCGGCGGAGGGGCCAGCGCGAGGAGGAAGTGAGCGAGCCCGATGCTTGAGAGAAACACTCGTGGAATGCTTGCTTTGGCAACATTAAAAACATTCAATTTGACCCCTCCAGACCCCCCAAATAAGGTTATTGATTCACCATCGCTCGTCTTAGCGGATGCTACAGGATATCGTCTGTTTTTGACTTGTTGCGCTTGGCTCAGGAGGCGGAACCGGATGACATCACTTGACATTGCGACGACAAAACAAATCCGCAATCTTTGCGGGACTCCGATTTTACGTACGCGTCTTATTTGTATACAAACCATTACGCTTGTGGTTTCTGTGAAATCTCGCCGTCGTGATTTCTATTCAACACGGTCGCGCGTGTTGCTTTGCGGAGCTGAATCCAATACGAGCAGGTTTGCATCCAACCGACGAGAGCCACTTGGAATGGATTTGACTTTTGGCCGCAACGTGGGACTGGATTCTGGTTCGGGTAAGCCACTTGAATCTTCCGACTAAAAGTTGCTGGCATCTTCGGAGTTAAAAGAGCTGCGGGCGCCCACCGGCGGTGCTGCCGCTGACACTTTTACAGTTCAATGGATGGACAAATTTAAGTGTCTTGGACCTTTAGCGTGGAACTTCCCCACGTCCCCGGGCAGTTTGCGTCATCCCCTTGTTCACACACCCAAAAAGGGTCCACTCAAGTACCTCCTAGCCACCGGGGTCTTCATTGGCCGACCCGGAACCCTCGGAGGCCGTGGCCTGTGCTGAAGTACGCCGACGTGTTGGTTGGGGTTGGGGGTGTGGCGTTTTGGCATTGGCACCCTCCATAAGCTAATTCTTAATGCGACTATTCATCGTTTTTTGCGATGATAAGTTGACTTTGAGAAAGTCTTGCATCATTGGAAGCAGAGTCAAGAGAGGAGAATTTAGGAACTCAAAGCCTGAACCCTGGGATGAAATAAGAACCGATTTCTCAGCAAATCTTGGATGCCTGAATGAATTACATTTTTGCAGCATTTGTTTATAAGAAATAAACCTATTCTCAATGGATATTGTCGTTTGTGTTATGATCATATGCAATTGAATAAGTAGACCATTTCCGAATTCGAAATTTGGGACTCTTGAAATGCATTATGGGACCGATACTTTTCTGATCAGCGAGTCCCGCAGGACTCGCAGGGCTCTAACTGGAAAATTATCACTGTTATAGTCTCGCGTTTAATGAAAATATCGTTCCTCACGCTTGCAAACACAGCAGCTGTTAGTTGCCAACATTTGTCACACAACCCCAAGCCGGATTCATTTTTTGGAACGGAAATGTCCAAATTCAACTTTGGGGCACAGCAAAACAAGTTTTTGCCATCATTGGAGTCACTCGTTTCTCGGTCGGCCGAAAGTACCCGGATGGCCAACGGCATTGAGAAATGCTCTGGACTCACCGTCATCGTCCGAGTCAAAGCCAAAGAGGCCGGAGCAGCGCTGGAGGCGCAGGTGACTCTGCAGCTCTTGCGCGCCGTTGAACGCGGCCAAACACTTGGCGCACCTTTGTCTCTGCGGGGCGGCGGGGGCGGAGAGATCCTCCTCCAACGAGGCGCACGCGTCAGGCGCCGCCTCCTTCCTCCTCTTCCGCATGGCGGTGAACTTCTCGTCCAGGTAGGCCGTGGGAGGCGCACGCATGTGCTTTTTCCCGTACTCGGCCAGCGTGTCCATGCACAGCGTGGACCCGTCGGACTCTTTCGCCGGCATCGGTTTCGGCAAGTGACCGCGCCCGTCTTTGGCGCACTCGGGTGTTTTGTCGACGCGCACCGGCGCACCACCGACACGGTCGTCCGCTTGTCCGGTTGTCACTTCGCCGCCCTTTAAAGCTTCCGTTTTCCACTCGGGAGCGCTACTTTGGCCCGAATGGGGTTTTTTCTTGCTCCTCTTTATTTCACCTTCTTTCATTCCCCTCGCGGCTTTGTTTTTCCCAAGCCGCGCATCCTTTGACTTTGAAGGAGGTTCCGCTCGAACGAGCGACGAGGTTGAACCGGAGCCGACGCGCGTCGCGTTTGAAGGTTCTTTCTTGGACTTTCTCTTCAGATCGGATGAGGCGGAACCGGAGCCGTCGCTCGTCACGTTTGAAGGTTCTTTCTTGGACTTCCTTTTCAAGTTGGACGTGATGGAAGTGGAGCCAGTTTCTTGCCTGGACTTGGTCTTCAAAATAGACGGGGTGCTACCGGAGTCATCTCTCGTCGTATCTGAAGGTTCCTCCTCGGGCTCGGTCTTCAATACGGCGGCGGCGCAACCGGAGCCGTTGCCCGTCACATTTGAAGGTTCTTCCTCGGACTCGGTCTTCCAAATGGCCGCGGGGCAACCGGAGCCGTTCCTCGCGGCATCTGAAGGTTCTTCCGTGGTCTCTCTGTTCAAATAGAACGTCGTGAAACCGGAGCCATCACGGGTCGCATCCGACGGCTCTTCCTTTGACTTTCTCTTGAAGTTGTCTGTGGAGCCATGACTCGGCGGGTCTGAAGGTTCTTCCTCAAACTTTCTCTTCCAATTGGACGTTTCGGAACTGGAAGCGCCGCTCGTCACATCGGAAGGTTTTTCCCCAAGCGTCTTTCTTGGACTTTCTGTTCAAATTGGACGCGGTAGAAGCGGAGCCGTCGCTTGTCACATTTGCACGTTGGTCCTCTGACGTCCTCTGAAGCGTTTTCTCCGATTTCTTCTTTTTCGGGAGAGCATTGTTCACGTTCACCGTATCGGGGGCGGGAAGTTGCTCAGCGGGGCCACCGGAGGGGGAACAACTTCTTGCTGGCTTTTCGGCGCCAGGCCTCCGGGCGACATCGACCGACGTGGACTTTGCGGGCTCCCTCGCAGACGCGGGCCACCCCGAGCCTCTGCGGGGACTTTTTCTTCGAGTAAGCCGTTCCTTCTTTGCCCGGCCGGCTTCGAAAGACTCCGTGTCTTTGGAAGCGCGTCGCTTCCTCAAATTAAGAACCCTCAGTTTAAGCGCGCGGACGACCGAATTCCGAGACGCCGCGGTCAGGGGGGGGCCTCTGTCCGAGGACACCTTTGGTTCGACGTGGCCGCTCCCGGTGCTCCCGCTGAAAGTTGTTTCGGACTTGGAATTCTGGTGGAGCATTTCAGTCGCCTCGCCAGGATCATCCTCTTGCTGGTGCTCTTCTTTCATTTCTAATTTGTTACCAGCCGTTGGCGACGCCGCTGTCTGTGCACAGTCTGGGGACTCGCTCTTTAGACTTTGACCGTTTGGGTCCTTGGTGGTGTTTTCGTCGTGCGTTGCTTTTTTGGACTTTCGCGGACGGCCTCTTCTTCTCGGGAACATTTGGGCTTGGTTGACGGTGGCCGGCTTTTGCTTAAATTTATGCCGCAATTTGCTCCTGCGTCTGAAGATGGGCGAAAGCGGATTTTTGGGAGGCCCCGGGTTACTCTGCGACGTCGGAGCTTTTCTTAGCCTCAGCTTCAAAGTGCGATTGCTGCTCTGCGTGGCGGTGTCCTTGTTGGAGAGATTCTTTAGAACGTTGGAGTGCTTGGACTCGTTTCTCGTTTTCAGCTCCTCTTTCACCGCAGACGTTTTTACACCGGGGGGAGGCCCGCGGACGATTCTCGCTGCCGCGTCACGCGATGGACGCCCCCTGGATTTACGACAGGTCCCTTTGGTAGCGGAGGTTACGGCCCGTAGCCGCACGCAGTTGGCTTTGTTGTCCGTCTGCGGGTCGGCGGTTCTGGCTGGCTTGCCGGTTTTGGAAGCGTAGTGCTCTCTTTCATGGAGATTGAGCGCCCAGAGGCAAATGAAGAGTTTGGGACAGCCGGGTAAGCAGCACGCCGCCTGCAGCGGGCTGTGTTTCCTGGCGTGCCGTCTCATTTCGTTCGCGGTCTTGAATCTGGCAGCGCAACCCAGATGAAGGCAGGGATGGCGAGGACTGAGCCGATGTCGTTCCACGTGATGCTGAAAATGTTCCAAACTCCACAACACCCTCATGCAAATACTGCATTTGTTGTTTGCCACTTTTAACGACAGTTCCAAAGGCCTGACGTCGCCGTGGTGAGACTCCAGAGCGTGGTAGAGGAGGGCGACGCGGTTTTTCGAAAGGTCCGTCGACCAGGCGCAGCCGTCGGCCGGACAGTCGACTTTGGCTGGAGGCTCCGCCCTTTTGTCCCGACTAACCTTCCCGTCCCGAATTACATCGTCCTGAAAACTTTCGAGGCATTTCCTCCTCGGGATGGGCGGTGCGCAGGACTCCCGAGATTTGGGCGTCACGTGATTCCCCCGAGGTGTCCGGTGGTCTTCAGCTTTGGCGTCAAATGGGGTCTTTTTGCCAAGCAGTCCATTTAGCTTGCATTCGGGAGATTTGCCATCGACGGGCTCGGTTTGCTTGCTTTTTGAGGCCAACCGACTATCCGCCGCCTTGTCGTTTGATCGCAAATTTCTCGTTTCCGATAGCAAGCGTGCTTCCGGGTGGCCAGCGGGATGATCGCAGCTCGCGGACTTCCTCGGCTTCTTACTAACGTGATGGCCGGACGGCCTGTGGGGAACGTCCGCTTTGGCGGAGGTCGTGGGTTGGGAGAGATCTTTGGTCTCCGGCGCGGCGCCGGCTTGAGCTTTGTTACTGGCCGCCTCCTTGCTTCTTTTGAGCTTCTCAATGTGATCAGACAGGTGCATCATGGCCAGCAGGTCGTCTTTGAAGGCGGTGCCGCAAAACATGCACTCGTCCTTCCGGAAATGGAACATGGCGTGCACGACGACGCGTCTGCCCTTAAAATCTTTCTGACAAAAAGTACAGCGGTACTCCAATTTGGATTCCTCCGTTTCTATCGTTTCATCGTCCTCAAAGTCTTCGCCGTCGTCGTCGTCGGCTGACCTTTCCCGATCATTTCCTTGCACGTGAGCAGCGGTTGAGGGTCGCGGCACCGTGCGGCCGGAGGTATTTGCGACGCCGCTTTCGTTCGGAAGCGCGGATTCCTCGGACTCGGCGTCTGGCGCTCGTTTGCAAGTCGCCGCGTCTCGAGGAAGTTCGACGGGAGGGAACCGGGTGAGCATTTCTGTTACTAAGGCTGAAAGGTCATCCGTGTGTTGAGAATGTTGACGGTGGGCATCCTGCATGTCCTCGTTGGCCTCGTCAAAAGACGTTTTGTCAATTTCACAACGAGAGCCAAGCGCTTTGGGATTTTGTTCTTCGTCTATGTTCACGGGGGCTCGCCCATCTTGGAGAGGCCTGTGACGCGGCGAGTCGGGGCTTTGACTCGTCGGCGTACCGGACGGCGGCGAGGCGTCGTCGCCGTCTTCTATTTCTCTGCTTATTGTATCAAAGGTCTGAGTCGCCTCAGTGGAAGCCGCGCTTGGCTGCGGCGTGACGTTCGCCGCTGCCGGACTTTGCGAAGCCAAAGTCACCGCCATCCCATCATTAAGTTCTCGGGCTTCAACCGCGGTATGGGCTTCGTCTGCGTTTGGAGAGTGAGCGGTTTGAGCTGAAATACGAGTTTCTGTTCCGTTCGACACAGACGAAAGCCCCCTTTCAACTTTTTCGAAGTGCTCTTTTTCTGAAGACGCCAAAAGTGGGCTCGGTGCTTCCGGACGCTCGGTTGCCAGCGCATCCTCCCAGCTCCAGCCAACCCGTGTGTCCGCGTGGGTTTTCTCGCAGAGCCCTCTCCGCGGTTCTTTGGGAGGACTCCCGTGCGCAGAAGAGCGCGTGATGGTTGACACGGAGCCGTGACTCTTGGAGCCGCTCCCCTTTCCTTTGGGCCTGCGAGCGTAACAGTGCAAGAGCTGCACGAGCATCGTTGCGTCTCTCGCCCGAAGGATGACCTCTTTCCCGTGCGGCGCCTTCGCGGGATGGGAGGGGTCGGGAAGCTTGAGCGTCGGCTTGTAAAAAAGCAGCGGCGGACAGCCCTTGGCTCGGTTGCAATCTTCGGCGAAGGTTCCCATCAGCTCGTTGTCCGGGAGCGACAGCTCCAAAACGATTTGCGGAGCGGGAGCTGCTTCGACAGAGTCCGGCGGGAGTCCCCTCTCGTGCTTGGCGCAGGCGTTTTCCGACACCTTGGGGTGCGCGCTGTTTTTGGGTTGGCCGTTTTCACACCTCTTGAGGGCAGACGAGCGATGGACCCTTCGATGTCTCAAACCGTGTTTCCGAAGCTTCGGCTCTTGCGCATTGCCGGAATCTTCCAGTAGCCATTTGGGCTTTTGAATCCTTCGTTTTGGAGGATTTTTTTCAGACAGTCGGGTAGCTCGTCTGAGCTGCCCGGACCCCACGTCGTGTATCCTGTCAAGCTGCCAAAACGAACGCCTCAAAGGTTGCGATGACGCTCCCTTGGCATAGCGTGACCTGTGGTCAGCCTTTTTTTTCACAGCGCTGCTGCTGTCATTATTCAGTCCCGCTTTGCCTTGGCCTAACTTGAGTTTTTTGGGCGGCTCCCCGCAGCTAATTTCTTGATGCCCGCCCTCATTTTGATCGGGCTTTTTTGCCGTTCCGTGATCACTACTTCCTGTTGGTGTGCTACACACAAATGAAAACTCTTTGGTACAGTAGTTGGGGAGCCAGGTTTCCTCCATCAGTTCGTCGTCAACCACTTTCTCACTCATCAGTTCCAAACAACTGGTCCGCAAAGCAATGAGGTTCCAAAACTCCGGGTCAAAGTAAAGGTCCTTCTTCAAGATCTGCAGTGGGGGGGAGAAGAATAAATCAATCAATAGACACATGAGTGGATTGCACAGATCTCAATACGAGGACTGACCAATTAATTGGCCTGCCGATCAGCAAAAATCATCCAAAATGACTGCACTGACATCGCCCTCACGGCCACATTTGGAACTGTGGAAGCCCGTTGAACAACGGCACGGCAAGCGGCCGACACGTTGCGCCAAAATAATCGATTCCACGGCCAACCGACTGTCATCACGCTTCGCGGAATTCCGAGCTCCGGCCAATGAGCAATCACAGCAAAATAATGCAAGCAGGAGAGTTGCCGGTCACGCTAGCACCCGAGATTTCAGACACCGGGGGTCAGAGGACACGGTGTCATTCGGGTCTGGCCGTCGGCGAGTGCTTTTCCGCTATTGGCCATTGTCATGCGCGGGTTGCGTCAAGAAGGGCAACCGGCATAAAAACGGTGCCAAACGTGTCAAGTGAGTCACTTCAACCCCTGACTAGAATGGCCTCAGCTCCGAGTCAAACAACACACATAAAAAAAATCTATTGTATGAAGGGAAAAAGTCCATTTGAAAATTGCCATTCATGTCATTTTAAGGGAAAAAATACTATAAGGGGATTAAAAAAAAAAAAAAAGTTATTCCATGCATTATGTACATATTTGGAATGAATCGACCAGCTAATCGGTCAGGCCTGAATAAATCGTGTATTTCAAGAGAGTCCTTTACCTGCAGCGTTTCAAATCGAATTTGATTTCTGATGGGGCTGTGCTCAACGTGGTAGTCCTGGTCTGGAAGCATATACAGCAAAGACACCATCTTGTAGGCTCCCACGCTGCGTTCCGAGAAGAAGACCAGGAGCGCGCACGCCCGACACACTTCGAGATCGTTGGGCAGCAGGCCCGCGATGGTTTTATAGATCAGCGACTTGGTGATGGCGTCGCAAGGGAGACGAGATTTCAAGGCGTCCGCGCAAAGCTCCACGCAGAACTGGATTCCGTCTTCACCCAACTAGCGAGACGGAAACAGAAAGGGCCGTCAAATCATCGGGCGCACGGGGAGGCGCTCCACTCGCCATTCGGTTAAGTAGCCACATCATCACTTTCATCTGCGCGATTCTCACCTCTTCGATGACAACTCGGACAAACGGGAAGACTGCGTTGACGTTGGTGGCAGACAGCATGAGGCGACGGCTTTCCTCAAGAAACGCCTCTTTGGAAGTATTCAGCCGATGATGAAGTTTGCTCCAGATAAAAACAAGCTCCCTGCACAGGAGCACGTGGGCGTCAAGACAACATTAGAACTATTAACAACAACAACAAAAAAAGAAGAATTAAAGTGAGCTTCACCCACCATAAATAGTACATGTCACCCCTGCAGAGTTGTTGGGAGAGGAACACCTGACAGAGGGCTAACAGCAGTTCGTTTGTTTCCTCATTCTCTAAACTGCAGATGATGTGCACCGCGTCTTTACCGCTGAGATCAGCAACCTGAAGAAAACATTTCAGGTTGGGGGGGCGGAGAGAGAAAGACAAAATAAATCCAAGTGCACCTAAATGGCAGCAGCGAAACACAGGTCTTAACTCCTTTAATGCCAGCCGTATTCCTCAAATTGGGACAGCCGGG